CAGATAGAGCTGGGTGTCATCTGCATAGCAGTGTAAATGTATGCTATGTCTTCTAATGATGCTGCCTAGGGGAAGCATGTATAATGTAAACAGAAGTGGTCCTAGCACTGAACCCTGTGGAACTCCATAATTAAGTCTTGCTGTGATTTAAAATCAGTGACCCCAGTGTGACCTTTGATCTTATTGTCTGTCTGCAGCTGAGGGGATTCCTCGGACATGTGATCAGGTTTACGTCAGAGCCAAGAAGATTTTTGATGAAAGGAATAACATGGGAAGGTCAGAGGTCACGTTGCATGTTCATGGGTTTATGTTTGACTCGTTAACCTGACGGTCACCTGACACAATTTGGGTGTGTTCATTCAGGTTTTCTGAGGATGAGCTATGCTCTCTCACAAAGTTGCAGAAGCTCCACGGCAACGAATGGAAGAGGATCTCAGAGAAGATGGACCGCAGCATCTACTCGCTGGAGAAACGCTTTAACACCATCGGTGAGCTTCCCTGTGACCCCTAACCTCTGAACTCCACTGTGGTCAGTCACAGACTGTACTTAGACGACTTGGTCAGATATCTTTAGTGACTTAAAGTAAGGGGACAAACGACCCCCATGCTTATTCTGAAAGTCCATTTGTTGGGCTGATCTGGTTGCTGTCGTGGCGCCAAGCCAGAATCCTGCAGGTTTGTTCCAGCTGCTCATTGTGACCTGAGACAGAGCAGGTTATTGATCGGTTATTGATCCGTAGATTCCTCTGCTCAGCTGTGAAAATGCTCACCTGTCTGTGCGCTCACACCCAGCTCAGGGTCGCGGTACCTGGACCGCAGAGGAAAAGTTCCGCCTTTGGCAGGCTGTCAGGGCTCACCTGGAGATGCTGGTCCAGCAGAGCCCTGCAGGTCTGAGCAGAAACCAGCTGTGCAACAACCTGCCCTGGAAGAGGATCAGCGAGCAGGTGGAGACCCGGTCCTGGATCCAGTGTCGTCTCAAGTGGTCGGTGCTCCGCTGCTCACGTGAACCAGACCCGGTACGTTCCACGCCAGCAGCGGATCCTCAGGTGTAACTCAGGTGTTGGTGTTTTCCAGGTTCTCCCTGCTGAAGTTTAAGCTGTCCTCAAAGGGAAGAGTGTTCAACCGAGGTGCCGAGGGGTACGCCGCAAAAATCCAGCTCATCAACACGTGAGTGAACCCATCATTCGCTGAGCAGCCAATGAGAATGCAGGACAAACCTCCGGTCATGATGGACATCACTGTGTGTGTGTGTGTGTGTGTGTGTGTGTGTGTGTGTGTGTGTGTGTGTGTTCAGGCTCTATAACATGCATGTGGACGACGCGGCGGACATCGACTGGGACGAGGTGGCTGGAATCATCGGGTGAGGTCAAACTAGCATTAAGTACACAATAGACTGTAGTACAGGCAGTGTTGTGTGCACGATCTGATATCCTCGTGTTGGTGTTGTTCCCAGATCATCATACTAAAGGTTGTTCCAGGATCAA